TGAATCACTGAATCCTAAGTTTGTAAGTTATGTGAACCCAATTTGCTCATCCTTAATTCTTTATAGATGGAGAGCAATCAAAATATAAGTGGAAGTGGAACTGGACCTCTTCCATCTTCAACAGTGGATGAACAAGGAGTACAAACCCCAGGCATTGAGACAAATGCTCAACAGCCTATGGCCACTCCTAATGTTCCTGTTGTTAAGAAGAGGAAGGAATTAGAGTCTAGATCCATAGTGTGGGAGCACTTTAAAAGATCAAAGATGCTGATAATAAAGTGATTAAAGGCAAATGCCTTTACTGTGCAAAAGAGTATTTTTGTGAAACTAAAAAACATGGCACATCATCATTAAGAAATCATATGGTGAGTTGTCTTAAAAATCCCCACTCAAAGGATACAAGGCAGACTCTACTCGCATTCAACACTTTGTCCACTTCTGAGGGTGGAACAGAGGTTTATGGGGGTGTTTTGGGGACATGGGTATTTAATCAAGATGCCATTATGAGGGCCCTTTGTGAGATGATAATCATAGATGAGCTCCCTTTTAGGTTTGTAGAGGGTCAGGGGTTCAAGAGGACCATTTCTAGGGACATCTTGTCCTAGGTTTCTTATCCCTTCTAGGTGGACCATTTCTAGGGACATCTACAAAATTTTCCTTGATGAGAGGCTAAACCTTAAGAAGTTGTTTAGAGTGGGCACTCAAAGGGTTAGTCTAACCACTGATACATGGGCTTCTGTCAAGAGAATCAATTATATGTGCATTACTGCACATTTTTTAGATGACCAGTGGAAGCTTCATAAAAAAATTATATCCTTTGTCTTAGTTTCTTCTCGTAAGGGGGAGTACATTGCAAAATTCATAGAGAGTTGTTTATTAGAGTGGGGAATTAAGAATGCGTTTACTGTAACAGTGGACAATGTTTCCTCTAATGACACAGCTATGGGGTTTTTTAAAGAGTAAACTGTTATCTTGGGGTTCTTCTTCTGTTAAGGTTCAGTACATGCACATGAGGTGCATAGCCCATATCCTGAATTTAGTGGTCCAAGATGGGTTGAAGTTTGCAGATGAGTCAGTCAAGAGGGTGAGGGATGCAATGAGATGGGTTAGGAACTCACCAGCTAGGCTGACAAAGTTCAGAGAGTTTGTTGAACTATTTGGTGTGGAAGCTAAATCAGCTTTGCATCTTGATGTCCCTACTATGTGGAACAGCACCTACATTATGCTCAACACTGCAGTTCAATATCAAGTAGTGTTTGATGCATATGAGAGAAATGACCCCTCTTATTCTGCTGACTTGGGGAGTGCTCCTTCCTTCTTGGATTGGTGTTCTGTGGAAAGCTTAGTGAAGCTGTTGGAAGCATTTTATGATATGACAGTGAGGGTCTCTGGTTCACTTTATGTCACATCCAACACATTCTTCTCTGAGATCTCTGATCTCAGTTGCATGCTTGAAGCTATGGTGAACTCTGTTCATGAGACTGAAAAAGTATTATCATTTATCTTTAAATTTGTTTGCTTTATTAATTTTTGTAAGTTGTAAACTTGTAACTTGTTTTTTTTTTTTTTTTTTTTTTTTTTTTTTCCTGTTTTAGGCAATGGGGACACAAATGAGGAACATGTTTGACAAATATTGGGGATCCAGAAAAAATGAACTCTATCATTTTTTTTGCCAATATTCTGGACCCCGGAGATAAGGAGGAGTACATGCCTCATCAGTTTGCCCAGTTGTATGGAGAAGTGAAAGGCAAAGCTTGTTTTACCAAGGTCCAATTTGCAATGGCTGCTTTGTATGATGACTATGCAGCTACATACTATGTCAGTTCTACCCAGACTGCATCCTCTACTCAAGCAGTCCAGTCTGAGGCTAACCAGGCTACTACTTGTACAATTGGTAGGCCTCAGTCATCTTTGAAGAGCCAACTTTAAAAAAAAAAAAAAGATTGGAAAGTAGTGGAAGCATTAAGCAAACTGAGCTGCAAGTGTACTTAAGTGAAAGTCTTGTGGAGGATGATGTGTCTGTTGCTTTTGATGTGTTAAAGTGGTGGAAGAGCCATAGTGAGAGATTTCATATTCTCTCCAAAATGGCTAGAGATGTGCTTGCATTTCCTATCTCCACAGTTGCATCTGAGAGCTGTTTTAGTACATCTAGAAGAGTACTTGATCCATTTAGGAGTTCCTTGACTCCTAAAATAGTGGAAGCACTACTATGTACACAAGATTGGTTGAGGGCACCTAATCAGCCAATAATCCAAGTTGAGGAGAACTTGGAGGATGTTGAAAGATTAGAGAAAGGTAAGACTTATTACTTTCTTAGTTACTTTTTTTTTTATTCTTTATTTCCTAGTTTACTTACTTATTCTGTTTTTCACTTTTGCAGAATTGCCCACTGGAGCTTCATCTACTATACCATCAATGTTGCCAACAATCACTGTAATGTGTTTAATATTTGTTTACAATGTGTTCATTTCTTTAACCTGTTTGATATTTTGTTATGTTGTTGCAAGTGGTGTTTAGCCTCTAAGTGGCTTGACAACTTGCTGTTATTGAAATGTTGCTGTCATTAGATGAGTTGAGCCCAATTTGCCCAATTCTCTGGAGTCTGAAATTCTGGTATAACTCTTCCTTGCTCTCTTTTCAGTTTGAATGTATTTGTTTTATTTGCTGGCTATGATGATGCTTCCACTTTTGTCTGAATAGATGGAATGGAGTTGGTATGTTGCCAATGTGCTAATATAACACATTCTGAGCAATGTGCCCACATTCTTACTTGATATGGAAAATTGCACTTTGAGCCAGTTAGCCTAATGAATAATTGCCTAGTATTGTTAGTCTAAATGTCTAATAGTCTTTTCTTTTATTCTCTAAACTCTAAACACTAATATTGTTTTAAGTTTGCATACTAGCAGGAAGAAGAATAGATTACTAGATTAGTGTTGATTTTGCCGACTGTTGATACTTGATAGTCTGATTTTGCTGACTGCTGACTGCTGAGTGCTGAAGAGTGAATTGCCTAAAGGTGCTGACAGCTGACTGAATGACTCAGTTACTGCTTAACAGTTTAAGTGCTTAATGTATTTTGTTCAAGTTAAACACTTAAGTCTTTAAGCATGATTTTTTGTATAATCATTGAAAATCTGTAATTATTAACTTAGTTTGAAACTTTTATAGTTGTATGTTTTGCTATGGTATATTGGTATGCCTTTAATTTATTGCTATGGAGTGACTTAATTTAATTGTAAATATATTTATGTTCATAATTTTATCATAGCAATTCACACATAATCATAGCAATTCACACATAATCATAGCAATTCATACGAGACAAATACTGGTATAACAATAATAGACAAAGAGTTATAGTCGCAAAGCCACAACAAGTGTGCAAGTGGTGACGCCAATAGGCGCCCTGAACTTTAATCGAATTTTAAAAAAATAAAAATAAAAACTAAAATAAGAAATCAACATCAATCATCGGTCAATCAAATATATCACTACATGACCTCTATTGCTACTATACATTATTATGCAAGGATGAGTTTGCTACTCTACTGTGAGGGAAATAGGGAGAGACGAAAAAATGTAAAAATTAAAAATTAAGAATTAAGAATTTATGTTTTAGAATTTGATATATACTGAGTATAATTAGTTTTATTTTGTAAATATTAAAAAAAGTGATATATATATATATATATATATATATATATATATATATATATATATATATATATATATATATGCCAGTCTGTAGGCCTATAGGCTAGGGATTAGACATATAGGTCAGACCTATTTACTAAATAAACTAGGCTAAATTAAGTTAAGTTGTAAGCCCCTTGATAAGGGTCTAACCTAATTCCAATCTTAAACACAGATCTATGATAAAATGTGTGAAATAAAATAAGTTGACAAATTAGTGGGGTTGCAATGAGATAATTCAACAAAGAGAAAATTTATGAAAATGTCTCATATTTTAATTTTCTTGGGCTAATACGGTAGATACCAGCTTGATAGGCAATAACTATGATAATAAAATCATCCTCAATGGACCTTGGCCCAGGAACTAATCCAAGCTAATGTTACAGAAGAAAAATGCATCTTACCTATATGCATGATTAAAGTTGATTTGAGAAATGGCTATGATATTTTTGATTGGACCTTTTTGCGTGATGTGTTGGAATGACTTGGCTTTCCACCAACTTTCACCAAATGGACCATTGAATGTGTGTCAACACCTTCTCAATCTCTATTAGGCTATCATCATCCCACAAATTTCTCGCACTTTTTAAAATGAGTTCTACTTTCACATTATTAAATTTGTAATATTTATTCTACATTCTGCAATATTCTCACTTTCTAAAATGGTCTCACTTTTATGTTATATTATTATAAATATAATAATTAAATAATGATAAAAGATAAAAAAAATAATAATAATAAAACCACAGCTTTTGTAAGCAAAAGTTGCTGCCTTGCAACTTTAAAACCATTAGCATGCACTTTGTAACTTTGAAACCACATCAGCATAAAAAGAATTGTATTCTGTCTCATACCATGTCACTTAGAAGTTCGTAGTAAAATTTTTGGAATGAGGTTAACCTTAATGGCTTTCTTCATGGTCACTTCAAGGGTAAGTGTGGTCTTAGCTAGGTAGTGGGACCCCTTATCCCCCCTTATTTTTACTCTGTCCATTTGCTTTCTGTCTCTGTCCCATTTTACCTGTCTTATTTTCCTTTTTAGTTTGTCTCAAAATGCTGTCCTCTTTCTAACATTGAACATCATCGTCATTCTACTTTTCCCAAAGTACCCTTGCGTCTTTAGTTTTCTTTATTGCTTTTATTTCCAAAAATAAAAAAGTGAAGGACATAATTAGAAAATACATCACATTTACTTTAATTCTTTAAAAAACCTGTAAAAAACAACCAATTCGGATTCTTTAAAAAACCTGTAAAAAACAACCAATTCGGGACCGGAGAGTAGCATTTAACATACAGTATACTTTCATATACAGAGGTGATAGAATTTATACATGATGGGATGGGATTATTAATTGCATCAACACCAAAATATTATTTAAGTTACTAGTAATTACCCATTCCTATCTAAGTGAATGTTGATGACAAGATATTTGATCACGGACCAATCTTGCAATGGCTGTTTGATATTTCTTGGATTAGAGCAGACAAGTTGCGGGTAGAAGAACCACATTCCTCCATTGCTTTCTTAGCCATTTCACCTGCTTCTCTCGCCTTCTTCCTCCTCTCTTCCCCCTCATCTCCTTCATCCATTACTTTCTCCAAGGCTTCTTTGATCTCTTCCTTCTTCACCAAAACCCCAATCTTGTCTTCATCTCCCCACTTCACAGGCACCTGCACGCCAAGGCTCACGCCAATCCCCAGCACCTCCACCACCAGCTTCTCGTTGCAGAATTGCTCCGCGAAGAGTGGCCACGTTGCCATTGGCACCCCGGCAGATATCGCTTCAAGAGTCGAGTTCCACCCGCAGTGTGTCAAGAATCCCCCGACTGCCTGGTGGGCCAGGATGAGCACTTGCGGGGCCCAGCCTCGGACCACCAGGGCTTTCTCTTTGTTACGTTCTTCAAACCCGTTGCTGGCGATCCAGTTCTCTATGGTGTTGAGTTTTTCGCCTCTTCCCAATACCCAAATGAAGGGTCTTTTTGTGGCTTCTAAACCGAGACCGATCTCGGCCATCTGATCGGCGTTGAGGCGTGCCAGGCTTCCCATGCTGGCGTACACCACCGAGCCGGGGCGGTGGCCGTCGAGCCACGTCAGACAGTCTTGGTTTGTCGCGGCGGTCTCGTCGCCTCTCGCGGCCTGATCTTGGTGGTTCTGGGTGGATAATGAAACTGGGCCGATGCACCATACTTTGCCGTGTTTTTCTTTGCGATACTCCGTGGCGTATTCCGGCTCTAGTTCCTCGAAACTGTTGACGACCACGCCGTAGGTTGCTCTGTCGGCGGCCAGTATTTTCTCCCGGAATTCTTGCAGTACTGTACTGGGAGTAGTCTGAGATTTGTTACTTGTAGAGCCGGAAACCTGGGTTTTAGTGAATTCTATCCTGACGGGAAAGTCAGGGACGACGAAACGGTCGGAATCGGAACCCAAACTCTCGAGAATCTTTGACGCCATTATTCTGTGGTTGCAGAGGAGGGAGAAGCAACAGGTGCCGTGGAAAACGAGGCGGGGGATGTTGAGGCGCAGGGCGATCTCCGCCGTCCATGGCAACCCCATGTCGGAGATGAGGCAACTGGGGCGCGGCTGAATCCGTTCCACCACCGTCTCCGCTTCTTGCCGTAGCATGTTGATGGCGGCGAAGAAGTTGGGGGCGAGGTCGAGGGAAGGAAGCGCGTCGATGCTCTCGCAGGCTTCCGGCAGGCCGGCGTCGGAGCTGGGGAACCTGAGCTCGAGCAGGTGGATGTTGAGGCCGGCGGCGACGGCGCGAGAGAGGGTGGCGCGGAAGCGGGCGGCGTTGAGTGGGGTGGTGAGTATGGTGACGGCGAGTCCAGGGCGGCGGGCGAGGAGCTTGGCAATGTCCACCATTGGGATCATGTGGCCTGGGGCCATTAGAGGGAACAAGACAAAGTGAAGCTGCTGGTCGTTCTGGGATTCGGACGCCATTGAAGACCAAATTGTAGGTCGATCGCTTAGATATCTGATCTTGTGTTTTCTTATCTTCAGTCTTTCTGTGTATATATGCGCAGTTTGGGTCAGCATGCATCCTAATAAAACCAGATTTTCCCGAGGCTTTGAAAGAATATACAAAGGAGACAGAATATTATTTTGTCTCCTTCCCAACGTGGGAAGAATATGACCACAAACGTAACTTTCACCATCTACACAAGTACACAACTCTGTTTGTTTTTTTTGTTTTTTTTTTTGGAAAACACGCAACTCTGCTTTATTCCATATTTCTATGTGGTCTTATTTTAGAGTTAATACCAAAATAGTCCCTCGACTATGTCGTAATTAATAATTTGGTCCTCGATTATCATTCTTACCCAATTAAGTCCTCAACTATACAATTTTTACCTAATTTAGTCCTTTGTCAATTTGACTGTTTGTTGACGGTCAAAAGTGGATATAAAGTTGTAATTTTACAAGTTTTCTCCTTCCTCCTCATTTAGCAGCGCCAAACCATTAGCAATAAGCTCTGGTTGGGTTCTAAACCTGTCAGTATCGAAGTAGTGGTTATGCATCGGATAGCCCATGAAGTTGATTTCCAACGATTTTTTGACGATCGAAATCTAATCGGAGTGTATTGCTGCATGGTTTGGCGCTGCTAAATGGAGAGCAAGGAGAAATCTTGTAAAATTATAATTTAATCCCGACTTTTGACAGTCAACAAACAGTTAAATTAATACAGAGGACTAAATTGGGTAAGAATTGTATAGTTGAGAACTTAATTGAGTAAAAGTTACATAGTTGAGGACTTAATTGGGTAAGAATGGTAGTTGAGGACCAAATTGGTAATTATGGCATAGTCGAGGGACCATTTTGGGTATTAACTCAAAAAAAATAAAATAAAATACTTTTTAGCGCATTTGACACGCCCACTAGGTGCACTTGTGACAGCCATGCAAGGCTGTTACGTTTGGTTTATTTTTTATGTGCGTCCCACATCTTTGCCAAAAACCCCAACCTTCTATCTCTTGGTTATCTTTCATTTATGTTGGCTTTGATATTTCTTAAAAACAATGCATAATCCCCAAATAAACTTCTAATGTAGATGCTCTAAGAGCATTGAGGGTTACGAGAATTATGTGGGTTAGGTCACGAAGGTTATTATTAGGGTTACGAGACAATGCATCTCACAAAGTAATAAAAGATATAAACTACAATATTTTTTTTTTCTCAAACATACGCTATGCAATATTGCACATGTTAGAGCAACTCTATTGTGGTTTTTTGTTCAATTTCAAAGCTTAGATAAAAGAGAGAAAAAAACCAAATCTTATTGCACCACAATGCACAAGTCGCAACTGACATTCCCCGCCCCCCCAAAAAAAAAAATTGACTATTATTGACTTTGCTCTAATATTGAAAATTGAAATATAATTTCACTAATATATTGCTCTCCAAAGTTACACAAGTTAACATAAAAAATGTAACTCGAAGATTACAATGTCTGAATAAAACTCATAACATACGGTCACTTTACAAGACCACGACAGCAGGCAAGCTGCAGTGAATCCTTAAAATTTCATCACTAGATTCACTGTGTTCTTATATATAGTAAATGTATCTATACATGTATAACATGTCTTTTCGCTAGTTTATAACACAAGATTCCCATCCAGTGTACTCAAAGATCTTGCAAAAAAATTGAATGGGCCTCTCCTTGGTATTTTATGCATTTACAGGGTTGTTACAGGTACTTTACCAATACGAAGATACCAACAATCAGGATCACAATAAAGATGACAAGAATAAACAACCAAGTACAGCCACCTTTGGTACGCTTGTTTAGCATAGCTAACCTTCTTTGCACCCTCTGTTTATAGGGAAAACAATGATGATGCATTAGTTTAAGCATCATAGTAGGAAGAGTTTTAGCTTAGGTACGTCACATAGTTAGCCAAATCTTTGTAAATATAGTGGTGGCCGGTGGGTGAAACAAAAAATGAAATTCAAAATGTATAGTTATGAGTTGCCACTAGAAAACAAATAAATGTATCTAAAACACATCAAATCAACCTAATGTATGAAAATGGAATGTTTTAGTACATTGTCATTAAAGACAATGCTTCTTTTACGTGTACATTATTACATTTATTACTTTGTTACTTAGATTTTGGCCACACATGCAAAAAAAGGTTAATTACTGTACTTAAGATCCTCTTCAACCACATAATACCTGAAGTCTGGTGTTTGTTGTCTCAACACGGTGATCCAAGTCATCCTACCAAACAGAAAAAAGTCAATACTGCTGGAATGTAACATATATTTTAGCAATACTGAAAGGAGAGACATTGTTATAAATCAACGAAATGGATGATAGTACCGAAAGGTACATATATTATCACCCACCAGAAGCCCAGTGTGTAGGTTAAGCTCCTCATTAATAGCTAATGCAACATGCTTTGTGCTCATCACACTTTCCTCCAATTTCCCAAGGTCATCATCCTGCTCTGTAATAGTGCAAGTTGACATAAAAATGCATATCAACGAAGTCCTTTTGGCAAAAATAAAATCTCATATTATGGAATTGGATATACCTTTCATAACTTGCCGTTGAAAACCGACAAGACCTTGATTGTCCAGCCCAGTAGCTCTGCTAACAACATCAGGCTGCTTTGTTTCAGGGCCAAGTAAGCTGTCCCTGATTGAGAGGGTATTCATGTTGAGGGAAGTTGCCATCTGATTAGCTTTAGTAACCAAATTGTCAAGCATGTCATGACGGCGCTTCATTTCCTTTTTGCTTCTGTTCATAATAATAAAAAATTAATGGCCATCATCAAGGTGTTTCTTCCAGAATTAACCTTAGATTAAAAAATAACAGCGCAATAATGTTTAGACTGAATACCGCAAAACAAAAAGATAATTAACAATTGAAAAGTTACTTTCACTTGAAATGAAAAATGAGAGAATTGACAATTTGACATCAAGAACATAAGCAGAGAGGAGCTGAAAAGTTGTGCTAGACACTGAATTGGACCACATTGGAAGTCTATAATTAGTTAAGGACAAACATATATTTATAATTTTTTCTTAATAGTCTAAGTAGCTAGGCCACTAAAACAATAAATAGGAAGAGAAGTGCAAACTGTAAAGTGTCTAAAAGAGAGAACTGAGTACTACATAGAATCACCAGAAATAATTTTTTGTTTTTCTCCTAGTTTTGGGCATGAGAAAAGTATTTGTTAAACTTTACATTATTTCAATGGAATATATAAAACATAAGTATTGTAAGACCAAAGTTCTCCAATCTAGTAATGCAACTAACCAAAAACCACACAAGATATCCACATCAAAGAGGTAATAACAGGGACAAAATTTTCAAATAAACAAAAACATGCATATTTTTACAAAAAAAAAGTACAAATCCTTTTTATAGACTCATATTTAAAAACCTTCATATTCATTTCCCTTATCCACTTCTAGTCTTTCCTTATACAATTTAGTTTTGACTAATTTATTTATAATAATAATAATAATAAAAAATAAATAAATAAATAAATAAATAAAAACCAAGAAGAAAAAATCAAGACTTTTTTTTTTTGTCCTTAAAAAATAAAGGAAAAAAAGGTCAAATAGACCCTCAAACTATATGCAAAAAAGCAATTAAGCCCCTAAATTAAAAAAATTTCCAATTAAACACTTTAACTAGTCATTTTGGCCCATTAGCCAGTAACTCACCAGTTATACCCGTCAAAATCCTATTTGGTGCTGATAGGAATGGCAATGGGGTATGGCGGAGGATAAAATTCCTACACCATCCCCGCCCCCATGGGGATTTCGTGGGTGCGGGTAATACCCAACCCACAATTCTAATCAATAACATTACAATTAAATCTAATAAAAATTTTATAACTACAATTTAATTATTGCATGAATTCTTTTATAACTTTGAACATAACTCTAAAATTTAATAAGAGTCAATGATGTTAGTCCTTAATTGAAACTAAAATTGTGTTGGTAGTATTTGTTGTATTAAGTGTTTGCTCATTGTGTTATTTGTGTTGTTCTTTTTCATAAACAAACAACTAAGGCAATGAGATATTAATGCAATTGAATCCCCAAGGCACTAGCCCATAAAGAAGTTTAATTCATTATGCATTTTTAATTATAAAAGATACATAACTTATATAATAAGTGAATACTAATAACACAAGTATTATATATATATATATATATATATATATATATATATATATATATATATATATATATATATATATATATATATATATATATAAAGTGCGGTGCGGGGATACCTCCCCTGAACTTTGACTTAAGTCTGTTGTGTTTTATTAGCAAAGAAATCCTCATACACACACACATTGTTGAATATTTAAAATTTAAATTAGTAATCTTTGTTTAAATATTGTTTATGCATTTTGATGGCTCTATATATGAGGATTTTCTTCCCATTTTCCAGTGGTATTGTTTCTTACTTCCTAAAAAATGGATCATTTCATATTTTCTTCCCACTAAGTTAAGCATGAAAGCTTATTATGAGGCCGAGTCAAGGAAAGCTATGTTTATCATTGTCTTCAGAAGAGCAAAGATTCACAGAATGAAGAAGTTTGAAGAGAGCTGCTAAAGTTTAGAAGGCAATGACCTAATTTTTCCCAACTAGAACTCAAATTTGTATAATCGCTTAATCAATTAAGCACAGCAAGGGCACAAACTTGAACATTTACGAGAAAATATAATAGAGTATTCATGCATATTTAGGTGCTTACAAGGGCTGTGTGCTTGGAAGTTTTGATAGAAGAGACTGCAAAGTATCAAGGCGAGTCCTTAATATTGTGACCTTTCTCCGAGCCGCAGAAAAATGCCGTTGTGAATCAGGTCCTGAAGGAGGACTCGCCTTTATCATAGAGTTGATCTCATCAGAAAGCTTTGTAGCATCATTAAATTCCCGCGTCCATGAATCAGAAGATGATGCCATTGCAGTTGGCACTCTGGCAACACAAATTACTACATTTTTAGTCAAGAATTCAAGACAATAACTCCAAAGCTCATAAATTATATTGCATCCTATTTACAACGAAATTAGATGAAGTGCATTTTTCATTAAACATCTAATTTCCCGATAAACTACAAATTTATCATATCTTCCAAAACTGACTAAATCCTTCTGCAATCGGCGCTTAATGTGAGAATAAAACCATAATCACGGTGAGAATTCAGATGAACACCGATAAAAATCATAATCACAGCGAGAATTCAGATGAACAACAATAAAATCAAAATAACATTGAGAATTCAGAATTCAGAATTCAGCACAATGATAAACAACGAAATTCAACGAAATTCTGATATACAGAAATCCTAACATATGATTTAAAAACAAAAACAACAAAACAAAAAAGCGTAAACAGTTACCGTCTCTAAGAATTTCGGAATTTCTTGGCCGTTTCCAAGGCAAGGGAAAAGATGGAGGGAAGCCAAGTCGAATTTGTTTCCGTATGAATAGCGTCAATGTCATGAGGGGTGGTGGCAACTCTCTAATGGCTATAAATTTCTATATTTGCATTTTAATCCTCAAATTTTTAATTATCATTCCACAACCCCTTTCATTGTGGGCCCGTTTTATCCCCAAGCATTAACGGCCATGTAGGAGTGGGCCGAAGCCCAACATGGAATCTGACTATGGGCCTAGATACTAATAAGCAGAGTAAAATTGGGCTAGGCCCTTGAGAGATGTCATGCAAACGTGAGGATGACGTGAGGAGAGAGAAAAACAGTGGTCTTAAGAAACAGACAAGAATCACATTTATCAAAGAACAGTAGTTGAGTTGAGACAGAGATTAGACAAAGACAAAGTCAAAGGACACGTCATCGCCCTCAGAGCCTGACCCCAATGTTGGCCTCAAGTCCAAGGTCAACATTTATCTACCCCCACTGCCCACTGCCCATCTCCCCATAAATTTTATTCCCTTTCTAGAATTCCTGTCTTGCTCTACCCACAGAAATTATAAATTTTACTACAAAATATAATAAAATTCTCGACTATATAAAATATTAAATTCATAGAAGAATTTTAAAAAGTGCAAATTGGTACATTTACAAAAAAAAAAAAAAAAAACATTATGTTCGCATGGGCAGCTCAATTAATCGCAAAGGTAAAATAGTCAGAGATAAGGATCGAGTTTCTCCAACAGTAGTGTGGGAGTAGCCTCTCAAAAACGTTTGAGACTCCATGTGTATATTGAACAAAGGTCTAGTCTCTGTTGGTCCTTCATAAACTGTCGAACCGAGGTGTGGGACGCCTGGTTTCACCCTTTGTCACAATAGTATTGTCATGATGTGTATTGACTTTGACATTGTCACATGCCCTCACGTTATTTTGTTTGTCAATTTTTGAAAAGCATTGGGTTGAAAATTGAAATGTATGTAAGGAAGAGTTCTGGAGTTGAATTAGAGTTGAGCATACTGCAGCAATTGGTGCATTTTAAAAAGGATTAATAATATTTAAATCATTTCATCATATCCACTCTAAGTCCACGAGGGATCTATCCATTTTAGGCATAATCTCTACACTGTTAATTTAGATATTCGAATCTTGGTATTTTCTTTTAAATGCTTACTGAATCATTCAGCTAAGTCCGTGCGGACAGTATTGGGTAAGTAGGGAGGAGTTGGGGGAGAAAGAGAGACAGAAATGAAAACACAGAGGTAGACAGCATTGAATTGAACAAAGAGGTCAAAGAATCATAATTGCTCCAAAAGGTTATATACGGCCATAAAAGAATCCAGGCCAGAAATGAGGGGGTTGAGAAGTTAGAAGTGTAACCTTCTCAGTCAATGTTCATCCTAAATTGACAACATAGGACCAGTTACCACAGCAAACCTTTGTTGACTCTCCTATTTTTATTCCACCATAACATTTCACGGGGACAAATTCTTTTAATTTTAATTTCAAACTGTACTTAAGTGGTATGTGTTTATACTATCGGTACATTATATAAATATATCTAAAATAAAATACATGTTCTCCAATCTTCCGAGAAAGTAATAAATGTGCTGATTTTTTTGCCAACGTGGAGCGGATGGGAGATTGGCCTGGAGAACAACATTCAGGGAGGAACGATCTAGTCAACCTTCAGCTCGCGGATGTGGGTAGAGCGGTTACTTTGAAAATCCGCTAACTCAAAGCCTAGCCTCTCGTTCTTCACAATCATACGTGTATTTTTATTCATTTCAAACCATGTTCTATCATGTTAGGTAAAATTGTGCAAGAAATGAACCTACTAAGCTTTATTTTCTTCTCTTTGAAGGCCATATAAACTTAAAAATTAAGTAAATTTTAAAATGAGTCATGGGATTGAAAATTTGAAATTTCTTGATTTCTGGTTATGTTACAAGTCGTTCTCATTTCTTAAATTATATGTAATAAATCAATGATCAATAGTTAAACCTATTGATGTTCAGTATTTTTAATTTGAATAATTGTTAAATTTTTATTAAGTTTTTTTTTTATGAATATTATTGACTATGTTATAATGTAATATATGTTATAACTAGTTTTACAACCAAATGAAACTCAAAAGAGTAAATACTCTGCAATACAATATTGAATCGTGCAAATAATTATACTAATATTTTCCAACTATTTTTGGCATCAATTTGTTGAAAAGGAACCAAATTCAAAATCAATGATTTTTCAAGCCCCACTAGTGCTTTGATTTAATTGCCTGCTACCACTTTGCGAACAACATTACATCTTCTGCAAATTTCCAATGATTCTTCGATTTCAAGCCCCACTTTGGTTTCTTTTTGATTCTCAAAAAAGTTGAAATGACTAGAGAGGAATTGGTCCATTAATTTATCTAAAGTTAAGGGCTTGTATGGTAAATGGAAAATTTAGGAATTTATCTAGAAAATTAGAATATTAAATTTATATTTAAGTGCACTTTACCATTTTCTCTTTACCGGTAAAAGCCTAGATAATGGTACTTTCTTGACATTTGTTAATTTATCTTCGAGATTAAACTCTCAAAAAAGTTCATTTAAGTGGAACTCAACTTTTTCACTTGGTGTTCACACTAGCTTTCCTTTTATTATTCATTATAAAATGGGTATTATTTCATTTTATTGGTAATTAGATTTTTTTTTAAATTTGAATTAATACTTTTAGATTTTTTTTATTTATATTGGTGTTTTGAATGTCATTATATTATGATTAATTGTCTTGATTTTTTGTTTTGGTATTTTTAAAACTTTTATTCTCATTAAATAAAGGTAATCATTCCAATTCCAATCTACTACCAAACATGCAAAATACTTTTATTTCACTAAAACCCATTACCATTGTCAAGTATTTGATTCTCATTAGTCGGCCGCCTTTCTTCTCCTATAAGGAGAATCCCCAACCCTAAGCGCCTCGGCTCGGCAGAATATTTGAGATCACAGTATGGTTTAGCGAACAAGGCCAAATACCGGTGCGCACAAGGAATCTGCCCACTTTAGACAGTCACCGCCGAGGTTCAAACATTGGTCTCTTCTCTCAAATACTGCCCACTGAACCATTGAGCTAAACCCGTGCGGGTAAACACATCATTTATTATTTTGGTGGTGGGTATAGATTATTTGACTGGGAAGTCAACCCCAAATGGACAACAATGAGAGTGTTAATTAATTAATAGTATAATAAGATTTTATGAATATAATATGATACGAATCTAATAATCCAATACTAATTGAGCTTAATCAACTATTTTTTATATATAGAAAAATAATAAGAGAGAGAGACATGATTACGCAAAGCAAAGTTGGTCACGAGCTTCTCCAACAACAAAAAGCTCAAACTGCCAAAGATCTCATCTCGAGACCCCAAAGTCAAGCACATCACTGTTGCCTAACGTGCCATAATAATTTGTTGTTTTTTAAATTCCAAGTAGTAAGCTTTTGACTTGGTTTGTCATGCATTTGCATTATTAATAATTTTTTTTAAATAATTATATGAACAGAATGAAGAAGATATATTGTTGATTATGGGTGGAATGAGGAATGCATGGCGACCCCACAAATATTTTATATTTATTTCTATCTAATCTAAGAAGCATAGGAGAAATTGTTTGAAAGAGGTTACACGAGTAAGTTTTTGCTGTCGTGTACCATTAAAGTCTAAATCTGCTGTTAAAAGTGTTGGGTTTAAGGTAAATGTTCTTGGATTAGAGCAACATAAATTTAGTAATTTAATTGTTAAAAGTGTTTAAATGGAAAAAGTTACTTGTATCTTGTTCAAAAAATTTGAGTTTTTTTTTATAAAAAAAAAAAATTCTTTTTAGCCTTTTATACTATTTGGAGTAATCAATATAAATTATTGGCTAGTTATTAATATATAATAGCTATAAACATAATGTCCTCATCAATGAATTACAAATATGATTGATAAGTGTAGGTTATCATATCAATGAACCTTCTTGATAACATGTCTATTTATTTGTGCTTTCTTGGTCTTAAATTGACAAATAATTGATGTATAGTTATGAAATTGATTATCAATAATTAAGGAAGAAGACCAGAGTTGAAGACTTGATCAGACTTAGGGAACTTGATTAAATTATTATGTTTGGCTATTGATTTAATAATTTTCAAGTTGTGATTAAGTATATATAACTTTGTTTGACCTTACTAGAAGAATTAATATTTCATTTGTAAAACAACAAATGTAGGATTGTGATATTTGACGACGTGAACAAAAACAACAAAAAGAGATTTTTTCAAAATCTCAGATTAACTTTGAATTTCTCTAAGTCAAACGCAACAATTAAACATGAAATTCTAAACACCTAACATACATCTTATTGATTGATGCAATTTAGTTATTTGGCAATTTTTGGAGAAATATGAAGAGATTTAAGGAAATAAGAACAAACAAAATATACAGATAGAATTTTCTAGTAATAATAATACTCCATAATGATTAACGAAAGAAATTACAGTTTATAAGTTAAAAAAGACGCCTTTCCTTTCCTTTCCTTTGCTTCCCCCCTGCTACTTAGTATTAACAGAATTTTCAGTTTTACCCTTCTACTGACTCACTAATTACCAAATATATAATAAAAATCAGAATTACAGAGGAGGGTGTATTAGTAACACTACGGGAGTTACTGCATTACTACATTAGTTCCAGGACTCCAGGGTGGGGAAGCTTGAGAAAGCGTCAAAGTCAAAGCCCGTCACGCCGCCGTCGGCCACCGTCCCTGACGGCGGAGGCGGAGGAGAAGTAAGAGTTGTAGGCTGGATTAGAGACACCGGGGAGGAGCCCAACATCTGTTGTTTCTGGTTGTTGTGGTCGAGTAAGAAAGCTGAGGTGTCGAGAGTGGGCAAGCAGGCGGAGGTGTGCGGCGGCAGCTGGTTGATGGCGCGGTGAGGCTCCGGTTTAAGGATGGGAGGTACCGGCAGCTTTCCGCCGCCGCCGCCGGCGGCGAACCTCACGCCGGTGACCTGCTGCACCATTTGCCTGAAGTTGGCAGCGTCGGCGGTGATGTACGTGGTGGTTGCGCGCTTGGCGGCGCGAGACTTGCGCTTCGTGATCTTCCCGCTGGGACCCACGTTCCGCCGCTTCGAGCCCGGCGTCTCGTTCTCCGACCCACCGGAAGCGCTGGGAGTCTGAACCGGCGTCGTCTCAGGCATCGCGACAGAGAACACCATCTCCGCGGGGAATCCCTCTGCCGCCGCCGCCGCAAGCGGCGTAGCCACCGGAGTAGACATCGATTTCTGCAGAACCTTCGTCAGCGCATCAGTTTCGCGAGCAAACACGTCGGAATACCAAGAATCGCCGAATGCAGAACGAAAAGCCCAGGGTTCCATCGTCATCAAATTGTCAAAAGAAGCCATTTTTTCCGATCCTCAAACCTCCAAAACTCCAAAAGTAGTTTCCCCAATTCTTAAAAACAGGAATTCAAGAATTCCTTTCCTCTACAACATTCCTTGGCTACCAAGAAAGAAGATTTCAGTCTACCTGAAATATGCTGAAGAATATTGCAGGTAGTGACGGATAAGAAGAGAGGAGATAAGAAGAGAAAGTAGATGGGGAGTAGAGAGAGAGGTAGCAGGGGAGAATAAATAGGGCGGTGCGAGGTGGCAGATGTATGGTCGGGGTGGGGGTTGCGAGGAAGCGCGTTTACTGGGACACGCGTCACATATACGAACGGAATTTATTGATCCAAAATGTTGAATCCTCAATTCCAATAATTCTTAGGGTCAGATTTAAAAAAGAGTAAATACCTAAAATGGTCTCTTGACTATAGCTAAATTTACAAATTAGTCATCGACTTTTAATTTTAACCAATTAAGTCCTTAACTTTCTAATTTTGACACGATTTGGTCCTCCATCTATTTGACCATTTGTTGACCGTGATCGACGATTTTCATAAGAACATTCAGCTCTCGTCAGAGCACGTGGAGGCCTCCAGGATGACGTTGCACCGGTTCAGAAACACGTTGTCTTCTTCGCTCTGGTACGAACTCAACTACATTGAATCCAAAGGGAGGATGAAGAAAAGCGACTGGATTTGGTAGATTGCTTTCGGCAGTAGATTAAAATGTAACAGTGCGGTCTGGAAATGCAACCGGAACCTTAAAAAACCCGACGATGGACCATGAAATTACATATTTATCCTCAAAAATCACAGTCAACAAACAGTCAAATAGATGGAGGACCAAATTGTGTTAAAATTACAAAGTTAAGGACTTAATTGGTTAAAATTGAAAGTCGAGGACCAATTTGTGAATTTAGCTATAGTCGAGGGACCATTTTGGGTATTTACTTATTAAAAAAGCATCTGAAAAAAATATAAATCATTCTTCCAAAAGCCTGAACCTCAACCCTAAGGGGCCCCATACCCCAACCAATAGAGCATTTGGGAGGTGAAAAAATATAAATCATTATAACTTAACTGAATACAAATACTAGATTTTTGCTTACTGCGTATAGATAAGATAAGTATGGAATTTATGGGATCGGTCCAGTGCCACAATTTAATAGATTTATAATTATAATTACTTTTTAGAGTCAATACCATCTGAAGTCCTCCGAGTATAGTGGTTTTGCCGCGTTTAGTCTTAAACTTTCAAATTGATCATTTGTAGTCCTTCGATTTCAAATGTAACCATTTGTAGTCCAAGTTAACCACTCATCGTCCTTCAATTATTAAATTTTAACCAACCATGGTCCTTTCAAGAGGGCCACGATTGGTTAAATTTCTAAAGTTGAAGGACCGTGGTTGGTTAAAATTTAATAGTTGAAGGACCATGGTAGTTAACTTGGACCACGAATGGTTAAATTTAAAAGTCAAAGAACCACAAATGATCAATTTGAAAGTTTAAGACTAAATGTGACAAAATCACTATACTCGGAAGACCTCAGATGGTATTAACTCTTACTTTTTACAAGCATTTGACGCCATACAATTGAAATACATCACAATTTACTACTTTTTTTTCACAAATCTTTTAGGCATGAGCAATAAGTGATGCCAAAACTTTGAATTGAAAATTATAATTTATGGTTTTTTTTTAAAAAAAAAAAATACCGTTTTGATCCTAATAAATACAAATAAGCGAGATTATATAAATATAGATCATATATACTCGAAACAAGAGAGATTACATGAATATTTTATCTAGATTATTTAGAGTCAATGATGTTTGAAAAGCTAAGTAAAACACTATGCCACCTAGAAGGGCAATTTAATACCTACCAATACGTTTGGTCTAATATATATTTTTTTTCTTTAATAATAGTGATTCTATTACACCGCCTTTACTGAGGCTCAATCTCATGATCTCCCATATAGGAGAATCACTACATGCCATCTGAACATTTAAAATATACTTAATTGTACTAATTAAATCCAGATCAAGTAAATCCCAAGTATCATTACTTATAGTACAATTTAGATCTCAATAATCACTTATTTTCCTAACTCATTTATAATCATTATATCTTAGACTATGGTTCACTATGAACATTGGAGACCTTGAATCATACTGCATACATATCATTCACATAATTTGTACTTTCAAATAACAAATTATATATATTTAATTAACAAATTATGTACATTCACTTATAACTGAATATACATAAATCATAATATGTATGATGTATCAATGTTCATAATATTCAAGATGAATTACGATCTACGATATAATTTCCGAATCATCACTTGATAGCTGGCTTCACTTTAACTTGTTTAATTACTCATTTTATATTAAATATTCATTTATGTGATGAATTATGAATGGACTAATAATCCCTTAGGGCTTGTTTGGTTCGGGGAAAAAGGGAAGTGGAATTAAAATTCTATGGAAAAATAATTACTAGGAAGATGGATTTCATTGTTTGGTTGGTGGAAAAAGAATTACTAGGAATACTAGTTCTATTGTTTGGTTAGATTTGGAATTGTAAGGAATAATGAGTATAAAGACCTATATGCCCCTACAAATTAATAAGAGTAATATAATTAAAAAAGAAAGTAAGGGTAAAATAGCAAATCTATATCACTTTTTCTTTCCATCTTCCATTGAAAACAAATTTGAGGAATTCATAGCAAATCTATATCACTTTTTCTTCCCATCTTGAGGATTTTGTTTTCCTCAAATTTGAGGAATTCATTTTCCAATGGAAAATGAATTTCATGAACCAAACACTAGAAAACAACATTTTCCTTCACTTTAAGGAAAATATTTTCCTTTAGAAAACATTTTCCATGAACCAAACATCCCCTTAGGGTTGAGGTTCAGTCTTTTGGAAGAACGAATGGACTAATAATTGCATTTTCAGAGCAAATTAAAAAATGGAAAATATAAGAAAAATGGTAATCAATATATATTTTTCATATAATTTTTCAATTCAAAAAAAATCAAATTTATTTGAAATTCAGTATCTTTTCAATTTAAACTATAAATAAATTAGTGATAAATGACAATAATATTGACTGGTGAAGACACGTACATGTTTGTTCATATTAGTGATGATATCTAAATTTTCTTTCAAATATTCAAGATTTTGTGTTGCTTTTGAAGGTTTAATTTTGATATTATGAATAATATTCAAGTCATAGTACAATTAGCTTATCCACATCATCATAACAAGTAAATTTGTGTATCTTGAACTTTTTCTCCCTATGCATATATATGGTTTTTCTCTCCCTACGCAATTCTAGGGTTTTCCTTTTTGTTTTCCTAATGGATTCTCTGCGAAAAGAATTGGATGGGCTCTGGGTTGCTATGATGAGGGTTTTTTTTTTTTTTGCTAGAGTGATGATATTGGATGGGGAATTGCGGAGGCTATTGGAATAGGAAAACGTATTTTGGAGGTAGAGGGCAAAATAATACTGGCTACGGGAGGGTGATTCAAATACTAAATTCTTTCATAGATATGCATCTGCTGGAAGGAAGAAGAATCGTATTATTAAGCTAAGGGGGGCTGGTGGTTGATTGTTTTTCAAAGATCTTTTCCTCAACGGTTTGTCGGGAGGGTGTTTACTCGTTGTCCGTCAACCTAGGATCTCACTTGAGCATATGAGGCACTAGTCCTACCTTTCATGGTCAAGGAGGTCCGAACGACCTTGTTTGATATGCTGTTAGATAAAGATACAGGGGTCGGATGAAATGCATCCTGCTTTCTTTAAGAGCTTCTGGGTGTAGTGGGTGAGGGGGGATTTGTGTTGTGTTTTCTAAATAGTAGCGCTTTCTCGATCGGCCTTAGTGATACAAATATTGTCTTAATTCCAAAGAAGCAAGACCTAGAGATGTGACAGATATGAGGCTCATTGCTCTCTATAATGTGGTATACAAGATCATGGCCAAAATGATATCAAATCGGAGGAAGGGACTATTCGCAAATGTGATCTCGAAATCTTGGAGTGCTATCATTCTGAGCAGGTTGATTACAAATAATATCCTCGTGGGGGCAGAGGTAGTCTACTTTCTCTAATGCAAACAACATGGTCTTATGGGGTGGGCAGCTCTGAAGTTGGATATGGCAGGGGTGTGATAAAATGGAGGTGGGGTTCTATAAGAAGGATGTTAGTTGGTTTAGGTTTTGCTGACCTGTGGGTAGAGCTGATCATGCTTTGCGTGACGACTGTCATGTATAACATCCTTGTAAATGGAGAGATGGGGGGAACTGTTGTCCAATCCCAAAAGATCCGGCAAGGAGACCCCCTCTCCCCTTATCTTTTTATTATTTGTACATAATTTTTGTCTTTGTTGTTTCAGAATGCCAATCACGGGGTGATTTCCATAGGTGTAGGGTGGTTAAAAGCGCTTGTGCAATGTCCCACTTGTTTTTTGCAAATTATAACCTCATGTTCTTTAAGACAACTGTTCAATAGGCGACTGTTGTAAAGAGGTGCCTGAGTTCCTATGAGTTATTGTCTGCGCAGGCTGTGAACTTTAATAAGTCTAACATATCTTTTACCTGTAACACATTGGGGACAGTTAGAGATGGGGTGGCAGCCACGTTTGGTGGGTCAAGATGTAGACAACTGGTGAGTATCACAATTTCAGTTATAGATATTACAGTATTTATCATTAGTAATAATCAATTTTAAACTAAATAATATCACTATTTCAGCATATAAGTATTACAATATCTATAATAGGTTACCGTTTATTTTTAATCCAAATTGATATTAAAATCTCTACAGTAAGTATTACATTTTTTTATAAGTAATATTTCACATATAAGTATTACGATATTAAATTAGAATTACACTTTGTAATTAACAAAATTTAAGTTTTACGTATTGCAAAATTTTTCATTATTAACAATCATTCTAACCTAAATAATATCACAATGTCACATATAAATATTACAATATCTATTATTAATAACAATTTATTTATTTTCAATTGGTATTCAATTTTTATAATCAATATTTCAATTTATATTATAAGTAATAAACAACTGTTATAAATTTGATCTGTCTCACATATTAAGATTCGTGAAACATTAACAGTTTATCACATAAGTGTGACTCATACACACTATAGTGATGACTAAATTTTTTATCTCAAGATATTTGCCACGTAGAC